ATTATATTATATAAATTATTATAAAATTTGTGTGCGCCTAACTTTTGTGCCGGTACGCCTAACTTTAAAAAGTTAGGCGTACCGGTACGCCCATGGCAAAAAGTTAGTCTAGAGCCCTGTTGTGTATTGATGATTGTAATTGACTCTTGAAGTGTTGCCTTCAGGTTTTCGAGAGGAGGGTGAAGCAAAGGTCACAGAGAGCTATGAGTATGACCTCATTGGCGTCACTGTGCACACGGGCACAGCAGATGGCGGCCATTACTACAGCTTCATCCGGGACATTGTCAACCCCCATGCCTACAAGAACAATAAATGGTGATGGATGATGCAGATTAAAGTTTTAATAATCAGTCTTTAAACCCAAAAAGTGAGTGACTGTCATAGGATGTCACCTTCTCAAAGGTTTGTTTATCTTGTCCTCCAGGTACCTTTTCAATGATGCAGAGGTAAAACCCTTTGACTCAGCTCAGCTGGCCTCTGAGTGCTTTGGTGGAGAAATGACGGTATGAGCGAGAGTTGCAAGATAAATACTACCACTTAATTCCACGTGTAATCTCTAATTTCACCTACTTTATTTATCTTTTAGACTAAAACCTACGACTCTGTCACTGACAAGTTTATGGACTTCTCCTTTGAGAAGGTGAGGAGAATTTCTCGTCCATTTTTGTAGTTTTTATCCTCTGTGTTAGATCCAGAAGGTAACAATGAAATGATAATCAAACTTGCAGACACACAGTGCCTACATGCTCTTCTACAAGAGAGTGGAACCGGAGGACGACAATGGGAAGGACTTTAGTTTTGATGTCTCTCCTGATCTACTTGAGGTACTGACTGTGCTTTTTTGTTTTAAACATAGCAGATCTCTATGCATTACTCCTGTTAAATCCCCCATTTAAATGCCCAACTCTCTCTTTCAGTGGATTTGGCACGACAACATGCAGTTTCTGCAGGATAAAAACATATTTGAACACACCTACTTTGGGTGAGCATAAATCAGTTTGTATTTTTGGTCACATCTTATTGGCCTTGTTGATCACTACTCACTCAATGGCACGACTTGTCATTGTTTCAGCTTCATGTGGCAGCTCTGCAGCAGCATCCCCAGCACCCTGCCAGACCCCAAAGCTGTCTCCCTCATGACTGCCAAGGTGAGAAGTAATACAAGCAT